CTTGGAAGTTTATTTGACATAGCCATCATGCAGAGACAGAAACTGGATATCAAGGAATATATTGCCCTTGCCGGCCACAAAATTGACTTGAGTGCAACGGAAAGACTGGCTTTATATGGAGGGAACATTAGAAAACGGAAGACTAGGGAGACCATGAGTATTGAAACAGAGAAGTATCGGCGAGAATTTCACATACTGCCTGGGCATACTTAGATATTCAACTAGAAAGGCTAAAAGAAGACGCTTAGACCAAGGTAATCTACTCAATAACAGGAAGGGACATTGCCGAGAAGAGGATTGTATGGAATAAATGGAAGTCAAGAAAAGGCGATTGTGGTGAGAGGAATTAAATCTGGAATTATCCTGAAGTTACCGAAGTGGGTCCACCTGTGCATTAAGGAAGTAAAGGCCAGAAGCATACAACTTGTATGGCATCTAGATCCATTTCAAATACATCAATGTGGAAGCCCAGCTGGGGATCACAATATCGGTGGTCCCCGTTGGTATGTTTGTTTGCATTTAGTGAGATTTGGCTGTAGAGATACCTGACTATCGAGCCTAATAAACAGCGTACACATGCACAAATGACTAGAAACTTAGCATTTGTGGGACCACCAACTTGAGAGACAATAGTGTGCTTTACGGGAGTCAGGAGTGGAAAAGGGAAGTGGTCAATTTTCACACCAGCATTTGCGAAACAAGCCAGACACATGGCTCCAGAGAATGGTGGATAATGGGTTGGGGATGAAAAAGGGGATGACTAACCTAGAAGGAAAAAGATGCCCAAGCAAGAGCATCACCTCCCTAAAGTCCTCGCAAATGACGCAAAGGGAACCAGAATTAGAGGCTCATAGGCAGTCAGATAGTGATTTCCATGTGTAATAAAGAAGAACTGACAAAAAAATTGAAGGCGAATTTCATTCAAATTTCATAATTATAAATTACACCAAAATTCAAATAAAGCATAACTTAAGATGCAAAAGAAACGTCTGGGAATGTTTCACGACCACGTTGCGACGACGGAAAATATAAGAACTGCTGTAGCAGAGGAGTTAGGACGAGGTGCACACAAATAGGAGTATCGAAAAACATGACCATTTTGGAAAAATGAGATCAGACTACATGCTAAACATAAAAATGGGACGTAAAATAAAATAGATGCCAAAACGACTCGGTCTTGATATCTAACCCATTTCATACAGCCCATATTTCTAGTCACACCATTCAGTGTCCTTTTCTCGGTGGCCTTCAAATCCGCTGAAAACTCTTAGCTCCTGAGTTGTCAGATCTCTCGTCAACGCTATTTATCGTCCCATCATCTATTGCGGCATCTCTTTCTATAAAGCTCACTTCATATGGGAGTGTTACGACCTCGACTTGACAATCGAATCTTGTAGTCAGTGAGACAACTTTAGACCAAGTTTTTTCGAAGTAATGCGCTATAGGTATTTTCGCGATTACCGGTGCTTGACCATGTACTTGGTATATTCCTAGAGGTTTCGCCTGCATCTTAAGTGAATCATGAAATTCTCGGCACAAGGCTTTAACTGAAAATGGCAAGACTCATTGAAGATGCCGGAGAAACGTCTGGGAATTTGCCAAGACCACGTTACGACGACTGGAAATCTGAGAACAACTGTAGCAGATGAGCTAGATCAAGGTGCCCACAAGTAAGAGTATCCGAAAACATGACCATCTACATCCCGGTTATCATTTCTTTTCAGTTAGAAATGAAAATGTTGGTCTGGTTATCTGAGATGCCTAGACAACTTCGCTGTAGTCTTTAGACCCATAACCCTATTTCCATCCCCAGTCCTTTCTCTCTCCTTTTCTGGGTCCCTGCCTGGCGTGATTCCAAATAGCTCTCAGCTTACAATCTTGAATCGCGTAAAGCGCGCTCCTCTTGTCTCTCAAATTGATATGACATGATTTTAGGTTTCGAATCAGTTGCGCACGTATACAGTCACCCCTCACTAATCATAGACACACCGAGATGTACCTCTATCGTACTCCCCAGCTGGGATTCCACACTTTTAAATTTAAAGTGGCCTAGACCTTGATCCAGACGATTCTAATGGCGCTTAATATAGGTGATTCTGACCTTTCATTTCTTAACGCACGGGTGGACCCACGCCGGTAACTTCAGATTAATTCCAGGTCTAAGCATTCTCATTACAATGGCCTGTTATTGACTCCCCTTGTTTCCTCAGCAATGTCCCCGGACTTTGAATAGACGTCCCTGGTCCAAGCGCCTTCTTTCAGGTACCCACAGTAAATCTCCAAGACTGCATAGGCAGTACGCGAATTTGTCGTTTTCTTGATACTTTCGATCCCTAGATCATCATGTTTATTTGAAAAGCATGCCCACGTCTTCCGCATTCTGACGCTGCCCACAAATGGTGCCAGTCTTCGGCTGCAGTCTAGTCAATTGCGTCCGGCATGGTAAACAGTTTCAGAAAGTTCCATATTTTGAGCATTATCGATGGTATTTTTCCGGTTGTCATTCGGAATGTAACAAATGATTTGCAGGACGGAAGACTAAATGAAAATCGGGACCCACGATAGGCGCCTTCGATCGCATTTAAAACCGATGGTATATATGAATATGCTTCGGAGAGGCTAGATAAAGCGAGATTATTAGACGACACTGAGGGAGACCATAATAAGAGAGATGTAGGACCAAATGGTAGAGGCGGATTTATATTAATTGTACTTAAAAGACGAAATCTGTTGATCCGGATGTTATTTCCAGAGAACACGGCAGCCCCTTCATTCACAGGTCTACCGCCAAATGAAGAGTAGACACGAAGCAAAAATAGCTAGTAGCCAAGGGACCGCTGGACACCCAGTTGACACCGCACCCCCTGCACCCAACTTGCTTCAACGAGAATCAACTAATCTACAACAGATCGAGACTGCCCAGTCAAAAACCTTCCGGCGACACGAAGGCCTGCCACCTAAATCACAATTAACAGACACGGATGAATCCAACGCACTCCACAGGGCCGGACTCCTATCTACACCCTAATCGACAAGAAAATTGACACAAAAAATCAAGTATAAATGAATGTTTATTGAAGAAACAAGTAAAAATGTTTGATGTCGTCCTCAGAACACCGAACTTGCATGTAAACTGAGTCCCAGTTCGTAAAAAGCCACGGAGAACATAGCCTATGAAAGAGAAATAGCTATAAAACACAATGGCACGCTAGGAGGTGAGCATTCATAAAAGTATCTCAGTGAGGGCAAGTTAGCATCAAGATGCAGGTCTGGAAAATGGTCATCAAGTAGGAAAA